AGGCTACGAAGAACTACCTGCTGAGAAGTGGCTGTGCTGTGAAGCTTAGCAGCTGCCTGAGTGAGCTGGGTGTGTTTGGGGCCTACATCAGGTACAGTGTGTCAGTCTCTTCACCGCCAGGGTGCTGAGGGGATTAATCAGACTGGGCTCTGTTCTTTAAGGGTCTTACCTGGTCATTGTAATTTCACAAGGTGCTGGCCAACAGAAACAGAAAAAAACAACACACATATGTCTGCTCCATTATAATTTATTGAACTCTTTCAATATTGTGGCACAAAAAGGACATACAGTCTTAACCCAGTAAAGGTCTTAGTGAATTCATGTCAAATATATCATAAGCATACATCATTAAAACACCAAATAACCTATTACAAATACACACGTAAATGTGATCTCTTGTAGAAAGAAATCTACTTAAAAGATGCAATTATTTAATATGAAGAGTAATATAAAGTCATTGAATGGATTTTCGAATCATGTTTTTCTGCTTCAAATAATCTATTATTTAAGAAATGTAATGGTTTCCATTTTCTGCACTATAAAGCAGTTCTGATTGTAAGGACATGAAAGGGATTTGAATTCACACCTCTTTCTAGTACTTTGAATTCAGAGAATGTGTAAAACGATGTAGAACTGTGGGAAGAAACTGGAATTATTGGAGGAAAGCTACGAGAACTGGAAGAGAACATTCAAACTCCTCACAGTTGGCATCTCAGGCCTGGAAGTTAACCCAGAGCCCCAGCAATATGAGGCAACTATACTACTACCTTGCCGCCCCTGATCAATTCCCATCTGAAAAATGAGGAGTGATTTCATATCAATTAAAATACAAGTGTACACCTGGTTAACCATTGTAAAAAAAGATTACTGTTACACACAGATACTAGTTCATATTCAAGTACAACATTTTAGAATTTAATCAATCTGGTCATTTTATGCAAATATTTGTTTTCTTTCTATAATGCAGTTTAACCTCCAAACATAAAAATGTTAAGAATTGAAACATAATACTGTGCAGTCAGTGAAAAGTATGAAAATCAAAGCGTAGAGTCTTCATGTCTTCAGTGGGGATGTATTCAGTGGGGCAAATATATCTTATTTGTGTGGTCAGGGTGTGTACCTTAACTGGCCCTCAACACTACTTTTCCAGTATTTTATAAAATGCCAGTTGACCTCTGATTTGGGCCCATACCTACATTACCTGATACTGTCTGATCAGTTGTGCAGGCCTGTGCAGATTAATTTGGGGAAACAGGGTATTGGAAGTTAATTCCTGGTGCTCAATTCCATGTGCTCATACAGGCAGGATAAACAGATGGTGCTGAACGAGTGTGCAGGACACCTGCTGAGGACCAAGAGTGCAGAACATTCTGATGGGGGTGTGGTTGCAGGCGTGGCAGTCCTGGACAACCCCCTAATCGTATGAACCACGCTGCCTCTCTCTGTGTGGAGGAGGAACTGCACATGAGGCCCATCACCTGATGACAACACTACTAAGGACCAGGAAGATATTTGCTATGCCAGGTGTATGATATCCTGTTCGATTTAACACTTAAAGTTGTCCCACAATTGAAGCTCTTAAGTTGCCAGGTATTCTTGCAGGCTTAGAAACACCTCTTATGTTTTATTTAAAAGTATAAACTAAGCTTTTAACTGTGGCCTCAGTTTGGTTTGCACATTGAAAACCTTTGACCTATGCTCTTGTAGTCCAATTTAAAGAGCAAAAATTTCAGACAACCTCAAACGTGAGAACCTGACCACCAGTGGCTGGACTTGAAAGTCCAGTTTAAATCGCCTGGTCAACACTTTACCCCAGGAGAGCCAACAGTCGTGTGTGTATTTTTAAAATACTTTACTTATTTGCAAACAAACTTCATCTGGTTATTTTTTAACGTCTTTATTGATTCACAATGTCCCGTACTCTTCGAAATAAATACATTTTTTTTATTTACAATATAACTGTCTCCGCTGCTTTCTGTAATGAGTACATGGTATTTTAACAATTTTAATCGTGTATTTAAGGTAGGGGAAACACCTTCTGCTTTGTACTTCAAAAATGAATAGAAATGTAAAGTCTATGATCATTATAGTATTATGATCGTGCTTTCAATTTGGTTTTTTGTTGTTAAATTATATCGATCTTGAAACTAATACCTAAAAATGTGACAAAGGGCTCTCGTGTTGTACCAGCGGTAATTTGGAAACTGGTGTCTCTTCACCAGTGAAAGGAGTGCACAAGCAATACGATTTCGAGAACATGGTTAAATATTAGAAAACACCTTAAACACCTAACCCTGGGTTTGAAGGTACAAATAATTAAGCTAATGAAAACAATTCCAACAAATTCATTTAATGCAAAAAAAATAGTATTTTTTGTAAAATATAACTTTATGGGTGGACAAATAGTACGTTGGGGCGCAGCACATCCTGGAATAACTTGATGAAACCATTATTACAATTTTTCAGATGTACAGGTTTGTGAAGGGAGAAAGCTTCTACGCCCTTTCGTTTCACTCTTCGTTAACGCTGAGAATAACAGGAAACTGCATGATCCGGAATTAAAAATGCAAGTTACTGCTGTTATTAAGACGTATTGGCCTCAGACTTTATTCGGATAAAACTGAGCTTCTGCACAGTTCGAACAGAATGAGGCTTGCACACCGCAATGTTTGTTTTTCTCGAAGACCAACGCAACCCTTATTTTTTTGGGGAG